CTGACATTCTTCCACATTTACCTGGCCCTTCTCTTCCCACAATGGTCTCTTTCCTACACAATTTCTGTTCCATTTCCAGCAGTCTCTCCCTTGACCTTAGGGGGAGCTGTGGTGGCAAACATTCAAAAGCTTCCAAGAGTGAGCCTGCGCCAGTCCCTCCCTCTCTCCCACTGGCTCTGTGCACACTCTGGCCCCTGGAGTGAGCAAAACGCCCACCAGTTTCAGCTGCTGTTCCCTCAAAGCACCTAGTGCACTTTCTGAGGATACCTGTTGATTATTTTGGGGTTCTGCCACTGTTTTTTCCTGCACAGATGCCAAAGTCATGCAGGTGGGCCTGAACGGCAGACCTTGTTTAGTTGTAAATATTTTCCATGGAGTTTTATTTTCCTAGCTAGTTGTCTGGGCGTTTTTTGGTTGGGATCCAGAGAACTTCAGAAATAATGCATCTGCATCTTTCCAGAGTCTCTATGCTACACGTTTTGCATATCTTTTTTTTTGAGACGAAGTCTCGCTCTATCGCCTAGGCTGGAGTGTGGTGGCACAATCTCGGCTTACTGGAATCTCCGTGTCCCAGGTTCAAGCAATTCTTCTGCCTCAGCCTCCTGAGTAGCTGAGATTACAGGTGTGTGCCACCATGCCTGGCTAATTTTTGTATTTTTAGTAAAGACAGGGTTTCATCATGTTCACCAGGCTGGTCTCAAACTCCCAACCTTCAGTGATCTGCCTGCCTTGGCCTCCCAAAGCGCTGGAATTATAGGCATGAGCCACTGCACCTGGCCCATTTTGCATATCTTATTTCATTCCAGCCTCACAGCCCTTTCCTCCTTACCACACTGCCCCCTCTAGCTAGTAAGATATCCTGTTCTGGGTTTGGGAATGGCAGAGCGGGCTCCGTGAGATGGGGCTAGAGCAACAGTCTCATTCATTCCAGGGATGCTGCCTCTCCCCAGCATTTGCTACAGTGCAGGACAGGGGTTCAGAGCACAGATCCCAGCCCAGGTTGCCTGCGTTCGAATCCCAGCCCCACTGGATACCAGCCGTGGAACTTTGGGCAAGTTCCTTCACCTTTCTGTGCCTCCCTGTCCTCCCTGTGGAATGGGGATATTAACAGTGCTTGCCTCCCTAGGCTGCTGTGAGGACTAAACGAATTACGTGCTTGGAACAGCACCTGTCTCATGGTCAGCACTATAGCTGTTGGAGTTGTTATTATTATCATTACAACTAAAATCACTCTTATTACTGTCTTTTCTCCTCAGGAGCTTGACTTACTAGTGACACAGCCAGGAAAGCACAGGTCTAGGAATCAAAAGTGATGTCAGTTCCACACATGACCTTGGATCCCTCCAAACCCTCTGAATCTTCATCCCCGTTTCAATGAAGAGCCACACGAACACCCGGTTGCCTTCCAATGAATGAAGAAACCCACATTGACACTTACGGAGCGCCTACTCGGTATCAGGCGCTGCCTGCTTGATTATTTCAAGCCATCTTCAAAATCAACCATGAGGTGGGCCTGAGGCTCTGAAAGGCTGACGATGTATCCAGGGTCACAGAACTAGCAAATGGCAAGACGGAAATTCCACCTCCTGCTCTTATTTTGCTTTTCCTGCACGGTGTCCTCTCTCAGCAGCATGAGCTGGGAACATGGCTAAGGAGCCCCAAGGAGCTGCGGGACAGGGGTGAGCACTCAGGCCATTCAGCTGTCACTCCCACGGTGCGCTCAGGCACACACACAAACCTCGGTGGGGTCCCAAAATGCAACAGGACCCCTCAGGAGGCAGGGAGTTCCACCCACACAGGGGAGTCCCTCAGTGGGAATGTTGCAAAGGAGCTTCTGGAAGGGAGGAGCCACAGGAAGCTGTGGAGGGTCACTGGGTGGCCTCCAAAGCTCCTGAGAGGTTTCCCTCCCCTCTTCACATTCCCATGCACATGAAGGCAAAGGTGTTCCTTCCGGCCTGAGTGATCCGGCCCATGACAAATGGATGACTGAATAGGACAAGAACCCCTGCTGTGGCTTGCTGGCTAAACAGAGGAGACCATTTTTATTTATGTATTTATTTTTGAGACAGAGTCTCACTCTTGTTGCCCAGGCTGGTGTGCAATAGTCCAATCTCAGCTCACTGCAATCTCTGCCTCCTGGGCTCAAGCGACTCTCCTGCCTCAGCCTCCCGAGTAGCTGGGATTACAGGCACTCGCCACCATACCCAGCTAATTTTTGTATTTTTAGTAAAGACGGGGTTTCTCCATGTTGGCCAGGCTGGTCTCAAACTCTTGACCTCAGGTGATCTGCCCGCCTTGGCCACCCAAAGTGCTGGGATTACAGGCGTGAGCCACCGCACCCGGCCGAGAAGAAGATATTTGAACTAAGCCTTAAAAATGCTATCCATCCATCCATCCATCCATCCATCCACCCACCCATCCATCCACCCACCCATCCATCCATCCACCCATCCATCCGTCTGTCCGTCCATCCATCCATCCATCCATCCATCCACCCATCCATCCACCCATCCATCCATCCATCCATCCATCCATCCATCCATCCATCGGTCTGTCCATCCATCCATCCATCCATCCATCCATCTATCCATCCATCCATCCATCCATCCATCCATCCATCCATCCATCCATCCGTCTGTCCATCCATCCATCCACCCACGTTTATTCAGATGTTTACTGAGCTCCTTCTTCAGGCCAAACACTGCAAAGTTGCAGAGAATACAGAAATTAACCAGACACAATCCCCGCCTTCAAAGAGCCCGCCTAGAGGGGATGTTAAGAAACAGCCACAACACAATGGGGTAAATGCTCTGACGGAGGAGCCCGGGGCCAGGGGAGCTCAGGCTAACTGCATTGAGGAGGTCACTTCCGAGCCAAGTCTGCAAGGAGAATGGCAGTCCCCGAGCCGAGTCTGCAAGGAGAATGGCAGTCTTCAGGAGAACAGCATGGCACATGCTGAAGCCACAAGAAGGCAGATTCAGGGAAGCGCAAGCCTCCCCGTGGGGCCAGGGCACAAGCACATGGATGAGCTGGAGCGGGGCAGGTGCAGCTCAAAGGGTGGGCAGAGGCCAGATCAGGCCAGGCCTCCAATGCCATTCCAAGGAGGCTATGCTTCATCTGCTAGGAAAAGACAACCATGGAAGGTTCTAAGGAAGATCAGACCATCGTAACCAGACTGGTCCTTCAGAGAGGCTCCTGGACTGCATCTTGGAGAATGCGTACTAGAATATGGGAGACTCGAGGCTGGTGCAGACCAGGCATGATCAGAGAGAGGGCCGGGAGACAAAGTGGTGAGGGCCATGGGGAAAAGGGCTCGTGCTCCCATGGCACAATCACAGCTGCCTCAGCACAAGGTGTGGGGCTATCTGTCTGTCCAGGTCCATCTTCCTCACTAGGCATCAAGGTGGGCATCCCCCAATCCCTGCTTCCATAGAAGAACCCTGCGATCCTCTTTACTTGACCCTGCTGGGGTGTCTGCCTTCCCCACTTGGATTTCTGCCTGGAGACGGTGTAAGCACAGTGTCACAGCCACAGAAATGCTAGTGACATAAGCCAGGGATGGCAGAGTCATCTGTTCCCTGGACAGACATTGACAGAGCACCTTCGGCACGTGAGATGTTTTGCAAGGAGCTGGGAACACCGCACTGAATGAGACAGACCTGGTCCCTGCCTTCACAGAGCCTTCTGGAAGGTGGGGAAGACAAACGTGAAACGCAAGTCAACAGCAACCGCAGCCTGTCACAAGCACCATGAAGGAAAGGGGTCATGAGAACGACGGACAGAGAAAACAGAAGCCAGGGGTGGCAGCGAAGGCCTCTCTGAGGAAGGCACATGAGCTTAAGCAACATTCAGGCCAAGGGTGCAAAGCACGGGCCAGGAGCCCAAGGCAGCAGAGTTTGCAGCATGGCTCAAGGGAAGTGGGCAAGGACAGAACAAGTTAAGACCAGGCTGGAGATTGCATGCAAGGACTAAATTAGGCACGGCCTTCAGACATCTTAAGGATCTGGAGGCCTTAACCCAAATGGTAAGGAAACCAGGAACAGTTTTAGGCAGAGGCTAAAAGATCATTCCTGCTGCAAAGCAAAGAATGAGCTGTAGGGGAGGTGAATGGACACTGGAGCAGCAGAGGCGGAGAGGTAACTGGCTTGGCTGGACCATGATGGAGGAGACGGAGGGAGGAAGGGGGTTAAGGCCCTCAGTGGAGGTATTGTGGCAGAATGCAACAGGTAGATCTGCGGAGTCAGTAAACCAGAGCTCGGATACCAGCTGTGTAATCTTGGGCAAATCACTTGCCCTCTCTGAGTCTCCATGGGGATGGCCACTTGCCTGGCAGGACTGGTGGAAGGACCTATGGAGGGTCCTGTGAGCACATGTATTGTGTGGTCCTTTGCCTCCCCCGGCACAGGGCCAGCATTCTCAGTGGGCGCAAACGACTTCACTGAGGCAAGAGCTGCATCCTAGAAGCCACAACCGCATTCCGTGTTTCTGCACTGCAGATTTGGGCTTCTGATCAAGACAAACAGAACCCGAGGCTTGAATCTCAGGAGAGAGCTTTCTTGTCTCAGTGAAACGCTCACCTCTGGGGATACAGCAGAGAACCGGGCAGGGGCCAGTAGACCCGCTTCCTCGACCTAGCGTGGCCACAGCAGGTCAAGCAGCCTTGGCCAACCCTTCCCCTTCTCTCTGGGCCTCAGTTTCCACATCTGTAAAATGAGAGGGGACTGTGCTCAGCAATCTGAGGGCCCTTCTCCACCACCACCTTTATTCTTTGGGTTCAACACAAATGAAGATGAGTTAACACATGTGAAATGATGTGCCCGGCCCGGCCTCCCTGTCAGTACAGACAGTGGGCTCTGTGAACAGGGACCCCCGAGTACACACCCGCTCATGGGGAGCACTCCCCTCGGGGGTACCAGGCGGCGGCCAGTGCCCAGCTCACCCCCAGGTAACAAGCGGCACAGACTCCCAACCATGCCAAATAAAACCAAGGCACGCGAGGCTCACTGTGTGGGACGCTTGCTAAGACTTTATTAACGCCCCGGAGGGCAGGGTTAGGAAAGCAACAGGAGGGAGACCCCGCGACGCGAAGCGAGTGCTCAGAGCTCTGCAGACACAAAGATGAAAAGCTTGGCCACAAAGGAGCTGACGGTGCCGTGGCGATAGAGATCCATCTTGACGGTCAGGAGCAAGTCCCTGGGCTCGGGGACAGGCTTGGTGAGGGCCACCACCCCGCTGTGGGGGCTCACCTTCCGGGTGGTGAAAAAGCCCTCCTCATTGCCGCCGGTGATGGCCAGCTGCATGCTGTCCCCGGGGACAGCACTGGAGGGGCCCATGCGGAAAACCACCGCGGGCGCTTGGATGTTGGTGGGGAAAGAGAGGTGGTAGTAGGTTATTCTCAGAGGCAGCTTGGAGCACTCCCGATTCTCATGGCAAGGCAAGCGCTCACAGCGGCTGCAAGAAAAGTGGGCAGAGAGACAAGAAGAGGGTTAGGGCCGGTCCAGCAAGCGGAGAAACGGCAGAGCGCAGGGATGCGGGGCTGGCAGGCGGGGCCTCCCGCCGCCCCTCTGGCTGATTCAGCCAACACGAAGGGCGCCCCTCACTCACCTGCGGGAGGCGCTGTGGACCTCCAGGCTGCTGATTCAGGCACTAGCCTCTTCCAACACCGTCTGGGGCACTGGGTGGCTGGGAGACCAAGGGCTGTGCCCGGAGTGAGGTGCGTCCCCTCCTCACTGGCAGAGCCCCACCCCACGGGCACTCCACAGGCACACCTTTGCCCTTCCCAGGCCCTCACCCAGGCAGTGGCCAGGGCTACACAGGGATCTTGGGTGGGTCTCGGAGGTGACCCGTGAAATGACTATCTCTGCCACTAGCAAACAGAGCTGCTGCCGTTTACCAAGTGCTCAGCTATTCCTCACCACATACTCTCTAGTGTGATCACTGCCACCACACCATGACAGTGGCTTCGGTGATATTTTTCACATGAAGACACTGAGGCTCAGAGAGAATGTGGCCTTCCCACTTCCCAAGGTCACAAAGTGAGTGAGGGAGCCATATGTATGCTCAGCCAGTGAGGTCGGCTCCCAGTTTCCTGTCACTAAGCCCTTGTGTTCCAGGCCAGTACCTCTGGGTCCACAGGGCCAGTTCAGGGCTTGGATTGGAAATGGGGACAGATCCCAACTTCCTGTAATAGAAACAGAGACAGGTCCTAACTTTCTGGGTGGAGACAGGGGTGGGTCCTAACTTCCTGCAGTGGAGACGGGTCCTGTGATGGTTAATACAGAGTGTCAACTTGATTGAATTGAAGGATACAAAGTATTGATCCTGGGTGTGTCTCTGAAGGTGTTGCCAAAAGACAGTCATATTTGAGTCAGTGGGCTGGGAAAGGCAGACCCACCCTCAATCTAGGTGGGCACCAACTAATCAGCTACCAGTACAGCTACAGCACAAGCAGGCAGAAAAATGTGAAAAGAGAGACTGGCCTAGCCTCCCAGCTTACATCTTTCTCCCGTGCTGGATGCTTCCCGCCCTCGAATATCAGACTCCAAGTTCTTCAGTTTTGGGACTCGGACTGGCTCTCCTTGCTCCTCAGCCTTCAGATGGTCTATTGTGGGACCTTGTGATCGTGTGAGTCAATGCTTAATAAACTCCCCTTTATATATACGTATTCCATTAGTTCCATCCCTCTAGAGAACCCTAACTACTACAGATGTGGGTACCAGGAGTGGTTCTAGAGGAACAGAATATTAAAGATGGTGTTCTTTCATTGGTTTTGGGGTTTCTGGAGTTGGCTGGTTAACGATTAGACCCAAAAATGCTAAGGATTCTACTTCTAATAGTATGGAGAACACTGATAGTCCTTGGCATGAACTGTTTAGAAAGTTACGCAAAATAAATGCATTTGAATCTCCTGATTCATCGCTCATGAGAGGCAAGTTTAGTGACTCTATACATAATACCTTTGATCATATGTGGAGAACCAAGGAACATAATGAAGCTGGTTGTTTGCTCCTAAGTTCAGTGGACAAAGTGATGAAGGAAAATGATGAACTCAGGGATTCTATCTCCCGGCTTCAGAAGCAGATACTGAGCTTCAAATCTGCTAAGATTGCCCTGAGTGAGAGTCTTATCTCCCGTAGAGGAAGAGCTGAAATTGTGGGAAAACAGACACCAGCTCTTATCATGTGAGTGGCTGATCTGCAATGAAAGATGCATGCACAGCCTCGCCAGGTGTCTACTGTTAAAGTGAGGGCACTGATTGGAAAAGAATGGAACTCTGCGACTTGGAATGGGGACGTGTGGGAGGAGCCTGATGAAGCTAGGGACACTGAGTTTGTAGACTCTGATGAATGTTTTTTGTCAGAAGAAACAGCTTAACAGCTTCCCCATCCCCAGTAGTGGCAACATCCCCTCCCCTACCTGTCAGCCTTTCCACCTTTGTCTGAGGAGATAAACCCCGCTGCCTGAGGCAACAGTGATGGCCTCCTGTGAGGCAGTTGCCAGGGAAGATAATGTTGATTTTCCTCAGGAGCCACCCCTAACACCCCCGTTTGCCTCTAGACCTATAGCTAGACTAAAGTCCTGGCAGGCCCCTAGAGATGAGGTTGAGAGTGTGACCCATGAGGCAGTGAGCTACACTCAAAAAAGAACTGCTTAAGTTTTCTAATTTATAGAAACAAAAATCTGGAGAACGAGCATGAGAATGGATAGTAAGGGTGTTGGAGAATGGTGGAAGGAACATAGCACTGGATCAGGATGAATTTACTGACTTAGGCCCACTAAGCAGGGACTCTGCATTTAATGTTGTAACTCAGGGAGTTTAAAAAGGTTCTAACAGTTTATTTGCTTGTTTAGCAGAAATATGGATGAAGAGATGGCCCACTGTGAGCGAGCTGGAAATGCCTGGCCTTCCTTGGTTTAATGTAGAGGAAGGGATCCAAAGACTTAGGGAGATTGGGATGGTGGAGTGGATTAGTCACTTTAGACCTACTCATCCAAGCTGGGAGGGTCCAGAAGATATACCCTTGACCAATGCCTTTCAAAATAGATTTGTGAAGGCAGCACCTGCATCTTTGAAGAGCCCTGTAATTGCTCTTCTTAGTATGTCAGATCTAACAGTGGGAACTGCAGTCACTCAACTACAAAATTTAAATACAATGGAAATAATTGGATCCTGAGGTGGCAGTGGCCAAGTGGTAGCACTCAACCGTCAAAGGCAAGGTGGGTGTAGCTACTGTAATGGACAGCAGAGGCAAAGTGGCAATTGGAATAGTCTGACTCATGTAGAGCTCTGGCATTGGCTAATTAATCACAGTGTTTCTAGAAGTGAAATTGATAGGAAGCCGACTGCATTCCTACTTGATTTGTATAAGCAGAAAACTTCTAGGTCACATGGACAAAAGACTAATTTGAATTATAAAAACAGAGAATCATGGCCCCTCAATCAATTTCCAGACTTGAACCAGTTTACAGACCCAGAACCCCTTAAATGAAGGGGAGGCCGGGTCCCCTTGAGGAAGGACCCCACTACATTACCGACAATTTATGCAGTGAATCTTTCTCCCATCTTTCCCCAAAGAGACCTCCGGCCTTTTACCAGAGTAACTGTGCACTGGGGAAAGGGAAATGATCAGACATTTAGGGGAATACTAGACAGTCTCTGAGCTGACGTTGATTCCAGGGGACTCAAAATGTCATCATGGCCCTCCAGTTAAATAGGGGCTTAAGGAGGTCAGGTAATTAATGGAGTTTTAGCTCAGGTCTGACTTACAGTGGGTCCAGTGCGTCCCTGGACCCATCCTGTGGTCATTTCCCCAGTGCCAGAATGCACAATTGGCACAGACATACTTAGCAGCTGGCAGAACCCCCACACTGGCCCCCTGACTGGTAGGGTGAGGGCTTTTATGGTTGGAAAGGCCTAATGGAAGCCATGAGAGCTACCTCTACCTAGAAAAACAGTAAATCAAAAACAATATCACATCCCTGGAGGGATTGAGGAGATTAGTGTCACCATCAAAAACTTGAAAGACTCAGGGGTGCTGTCATTCCCACCACATCCCCATTCAACTCTCCCATTTGGCCTGTGCAGAAGACAGATGGATCTTGGTGAATGGCAGTGGATTATCGTTAAGCTTAACCAAGTGGTGACTCCAATTGCAGCTGCTATACCAGATGTGGTTTCCTTGCTTGAGCAAATTACCACATCTCTTAGTACCTGGTATGCAGCCACTGACTTGGCAAATGCGTTTTTCTCCATTCCTGTTCCAAGGCCCACCAGAAGCAATTTGTCTTCAGCTGGCAAGACCAGCAATATACCTTCACTGTCGTACCTCAGGGGTGTATCAACTCTCTGGCTTTGTGTCATAATCTTATTCATGTCATAATCTTATTCAGAGAGACCTTGATCGCATTTTGCTTCTGCAAGATATCACGCTGGTCCATTAAAATTGGTGGCATTATGCTGATTGGTTCCAGTGAGTGAGAAGTAGCAAACACACTGGACTTACTGGTGAGACATTGGCATGCCAGAGGATGAAAAATAAATCCGATAATAAAATTCAGGGACCTTCTACCTCAGTAAAATTTCTAAGGGTCCAGTGGTTTGGGGCCTGTTGAGATATTCCTTCTAAGGTGAAGGATAAGTTGCTGCATTTGGCCCCCACTACAACCAAGACACAACGCCTAGTGAGCCTATTTCGATTTTGGAGGCAACACATTCCTCATTTGAGTATTACTCCAGCCCATTTATCAAGTGACCTGAAAGGCTGCCAGTTTTGAGTGGGGTCCAGAACAGGAGAAGGCTCTGCAACAGGTACAGGCTGCTGTGCAAGCTGTTCTGCCACTTGGGTCATATGATCCAGCAGATCCAATGTTGCTTGAGGTGTCAGTGGCAGGCAAGGATGCTGTCTGCAGCCTTTGGCAGGCCCCCATAGGTGAATCACAGTGGAGGTCTCTAGGCTTTCAGAGCAAGGCCCTGTCACCTTCTGCAGATAACTACTTTCCTTTCGAGAGACAGCTCTTGGCCTGTTACTGGGCCTTGGTGGAAACTGAATGTTTGACTCTGGGTCATCAAGTCACCATGTGACCTGAACTGCCCATCATGAACTGGGTGCTTTCTACCCATCTAGCCATAAAGTTGGTCATGCACAGCAGCATTCCATCATCAAATGGAAGTGGTATATATGTGATCGGGCTTGAGCAGGTCTTGAAGGCACAAGTTAAGTTACATGAGGAAGTGGCTCAAATGCCCATGGTCTCCACTCCCGCCAACTTGCCTTCTGTCCTCCATCCTGCACAGATGGCCTCATGCAGAGTTCCCAATGATCAGCTGACAGAGGAAGGGAAGTCTAGGGCCTGGTTCACAGATGGTTCTGCACGATATGCTTGCACCACTCAAAAGTGGACAGCTGCAGCACTACAGCCCCTTTCTAGGACATCCCTGAAGGACAGTGGCAAAGGGAAATCTTTCCAGTGGGCAGAACTTCAAGCAATGCACCTGGTTGTGCACTTTGCGTGGAAGGAGAAATGACCACATGTGCGATTATATACTGATTCATGGGCTGTGGCCAATGGTTTGGCTGGATGGTCAGAGACTTGGAAGAAGCATGATTGGAAAATTGGTGACAACAAAATTTGGGGAAGAGGTATGTGGATGGACCTCTTTTGAGTCAAAAACTGTGAAGAT